CGTCCCCCAGCCACTCTCGCTGAAAAACATAAAAGACGTCTATAGACGTCTTTGGCAGCCAATGAGTTAACGAGGATGAGCAGAAATCTGTGCTACTCTCTAAATTCAAATGGCCGGTGATCATGTTTGTTTCTGAGAGAACAATGACAGCAAAGGCAGTGAGTAGTGTGTATCTATCTTTATTCAACTAAATAATATCTTAAAGTACAGCAGAGTGACTGAGAGCTGTGTTTTAATCACACAGGAAAAGATCATTAGTAAGTCTGTGTGTGTTTAAAACATGATTACATTCATTCAAAATCTACAAAACTAGTAAAAAAATCTTAATTTAGGAGAACAATGGGTACAGCAGATGGTGGATAAGATACAGTAGTTACAATCTAAAAATTCATGGCTTTGGCACAAGTGTATAAAAAAGAGGCGTTAAAAAAATAAAAGAAAAAAAAGGCACTTTCTTATGAGCGATATTAGTGGCTTTGCTTGCAAGTGTCGTTGACATAATCGTAAAATCCCTTCATTAGCATCAGCCTTTCCTCATCAGAGCAGTAAAACCGCATTCAGAGGGCTTTAATGTCCCTTTGCAGACACACTGGGCAATAAAGGCCAGAAATACTTAAGAAAGCACTTAAGAAAGTGTCCCAGAAAAATCACAATTTACAAAATATAAAATGTTTTTTTTTTTTTTTTCTTTTAAAAGGCCACTATAAAAAGAAACCGTAACAGTGTGAATGACTTTTTAATGAGGACATAAAACACATCTGAATCCTCAGACTGAATGAAAACTGGAGTTCTGGTGGAAAATCTGTGATCTAAATACTTTGTAGAAAGCCTTAATTTATGAATATTTTTGTAACAGATTGTAATGTAATGTGAAATAATTTGAAACGTATAATTGTTCTTATGATGTGATCATTTGATATGTTTTGTGTATCTGTATAATTTTAAAAGGACCCCAGCAAGAGTAGCTGTCAAATTACTGACAGCTAATGGGGATCCAAATAAATAAACAAATAAACAAATTCCCAGCATTCTGGAAATCTCGTGACGTTTTTCCATGCTTTGTTTCGCAAAATGAGCTCATCAGATGCCAAATTAGATACCATGCCAAATTATTCTGGAATAGAAACCACCTTTAGGCTTTTGGGGTGTGACAGGTAGTGGGGAAGTTACAGTGGGAGAAATAAGTATTTGACCCCTTGCTGATTTTGCAGGTTTGCCCACTTAAAAAGAATAAAACGATCTATAACTTTAATCATATGTACATTCTAACAGTGAAAGACAGAATCCCAAAGAAAATTCCAGAAAATCACATCATATTATTTATTGTTGGGTTTCTGTAGTTAACTTCAGAGTAGGGTCTGACCTGCTCTGTTTGGAAAGCTGTGAGACAACTGTTGTTGTGATGTGGCGCTATATAAATAAAATTGAATTGAATTAATTTTAATTTTGTAATGTCATTGTCTGAACGTGTGTTTGGACTGATTTTGTATTTTGTGATTTTGTGTTGTTTGGTCTTCCTGCCTCAGGACGACAGATGTAAAATAGCAACTATTCTATAATCTGGCTCATTTACAATCTGTATGAGATTGTTCATTAATGTGCACTGTCCTGATTAAAGAAATATATAAACTTTAAATCATAAAAATTGATAACCATCTGATGAGGAAAAACAAGCATTCTTTTTGTAAGTGGGCAAACCTGCAAAATCAGCAAGGGGTCAAATACTTATTTCCCCCACTGTACCTCCTCACTTCCTAACTCCTCCCCCTTCTTCTTCTTCTTCCTTTTCCTCCCTCAGTACGGCTCTGCCTTTAGCTTCTGATACAGGCAGCATGTGAAAACCATCCCGATGATCTGGGGAAAAGACGAGAAGGAGGACACGAGTTATTATGTTTTATTTGACATTTAAGGAGGACTGTCAGGGAAGGTGGGTCTTGGTGGAGATGTGGAAAAACAAGGTTTTATTGTAACAAAAACACTCATGAAGAGTGAATGTCCAGACAAAGTTCAAATCAAGGCTGTGGAAAACTATGAGCAAAGTATCAAAGCAATAAGTAAACAAAACTGTGGCAAAGTATCAAATCATGATTGTAAGAGCCAGTTAATGGGGAGTTCATATAGAATAATAATTTAGATTAAAAATGTATAAATATGCTTAATTTACTTTTAAGAAATTCATGATGAGTATATTTTCTAGAATGTATAACTTAGTTAATGTAAACGGATGTTTTTATTGGGAAAAGTAATTTTGGCTTCCAATACGTAATGCGTAACATTAATATTGCCCGTATGCACGTTTGAGTTCAGATTACAGTTCGATACGGTGGAAGCAGCACAATTTTTTGACCGATCTGTACCGAGCCTTTAATTTTTTCTATAAGTGTACTTTTTTGAGTTATTTAAGTAAACATCATAAAAGAAGACTTGGTTTCAGTCGAGTGATTCAAATATTGGTTGTTAGACAAACTGCAAAGGTGGTACAACAAACTTTTGGGACGCAGAGTGCCACTACAATGATTAACAAAACTGTGACAAAACATGGCTATGACGAAAACTGTGGCTATGGTTAAAAAACATGACTATGGCAGTAAAGTAAACAAGGCTGTGACAAAATCAAACCTGAACTAACATGGGGAGACGAAAGACAACAGACGAAAGACGCAAACGAAATGGCACAGGACATGAGAAACGAGGACTATTTAACCAGTGTTTTTCAACCTTTTTTGAGCCAAGGTACAGTTTTTCATTGAAAAAATCACGAGGCACACCACCAACCAAAAATGTTAAACAAAGCTGTAGCCGCCTATAGTAACACTATAGTTATTCTTATCTTATTCTTATCTTATCTTAAGTGTCTTGAATAGGGATCAAATAAACACAAAAATGTATTTTTATCATATTTTATATTTCTTCTTTCAAATTGCTCTAAACATGTCCACTTCAATATGCAAAATTATATACAAAATCTAGTCATAAGGAATTACTACATGATTACTCCACCAGTCACTAGAACAGCACAGACACTCAAAAATGGAATATTATTTGCAGATTATTAATTCCTTATCAAAAAATCTTTTTAGACCAATTAGGTGAAGTAGGATGATTTTCTACGGCACACCTGACCATCACTAGTGTACCGAGGCACGGTGGTTGAAAAACACTGATTTAAACACATGAGGGAGGGGAACCCCAGGTGAACACAATAGGTAATCAAGACATGACGAGACACCAGACATTCCCCCAGAAGTGACACGGACAACACGAGTTATTAAGTTTTATTTGATATCTTTAGGTGGAGGGATGGTCGTGCTCACCTGGACACAGGCGACCCCGACCCCCACGGCCCCGATGATCTTCAGGTGCTCCAGGATGTACGTCTCCAGTTTGGAGATGCAGCCGCCCTAAAAATAAAGCAGAAAGTGTCTTCAGGATGCATTAGCCAACCAGAGATGTTCAGTAAAGAAGAACTACTACTACTTAAGTACTGGACTTAACTCATTGACTGGCAGCCATTTTCAGAACAGAGTCCCATACTGCCAGAGTTTTTTTGAGCATTTTGACTGATTTTTCCAGAGCCACAGAATAGTTTGTGCTATGACTATGTAAACACCGAACACACCAAAAGAAAGAGTAGACTCTCTTCTTTCATCAGGAAAAAAAAAATGTTTCTACCTTATTCCGTTCTTCCTGGACTTGCGTCTCACCGGCGACATGTTCTCTCATAGAACCGTTCCCTTTTTCTTATTTGCCTACAGTCTATGCTCATCTCCCATCAAAAGTGGCACTGCCCCCTAGAGGGTCAATTTGTTACTACATACTCTGTCTAGAAGCCCATATTTACGGACAAGCTTTAGCAGATCGTCCCCCAGACACTCTCGTTAAAAACATAAAAGACGTCTATAAATGTCTTTGGCAGTCAATGAGTTAAGTACCAAAATGCAGTATCTGTACTTAATTGGAGTATATATTTTCTCCCCTATTTTTACTTTTACTCCATTACATATTTTTGATTAATTTTATACTTTTACTTTTCACGGGCTGAATCGTTACTCGTTACTGATATGTAAACGTAATGATAGATACAGTGGGGGAAATAAGTATTTGACCCCTTGCTGATTTTGCAGGTTTGCCCACTTACAAAGAATGCTTATTTTTCCTCATCAGATGGTTATCAATTTTTATAAATTCATATGATGTGATTTTCTGGAATCTTCTTTGGGATTCTGTCTCTCACTGTTAGAATGTACATATGATTAAAGTTATAGATCGTTGCATTCTTTGTAAGTGGGCAAACCTGCAAAATCAGCAAGGGCTCAAATACTTATTTCCCCCACTTAAGTACAAAAAAACTGAGTACTTCCCCTTAAGTCTGGTGTTGAAAGAACACTTCAAATTTTACTCAACTCAATTCTTTTATATAGTATTAATACTTCTACTCCAGTACTTTATACATCTCTGTTCTTTATATTTAAAAAAGTGAGTACTTCCGTACTTCCACTTAAGTCTGGAGTTGAAAGAATACTTCTACTTTTACTCAACTCAATTATTTTATCTCGCACTTGTACTTCTACTCCAGTACTTTATAATCTCTGCTGTTTATCGGGCTCTGACCTCCACCCGGTAGATGTTGGAGGGGTGGTCCCTCACGCCGCAAAGCATGCTGGGAGTTTTGCAGCAGCTGTCCGGGACCTTTCTGCCTTCTGACTCTCGGCTTCTAATCCAGACGTTCTCAGACCAGTCGGAGGAGCTGTTGCTGCCACAGCATTTGAACTAACAGACGAGTTAGAGAGAGTCATTTTTTAGGGTCAAACAGTAACTGAAGGAAAACGTGAAAAGAAAGTTAATTTAGATTCACATATGTAGTTTATTGCCCTTTTAAGGTAATTTCAGATGTTTGAACCAGTGTCTGTAACATTAATTTCTGAGGAGAAACCAAAGAAACGAGGCAGCCACAATACATTTTTCATCCATCCATCCATCCATTCATCCATCCATTAACTCATCCATCCATCCATCCATCCATCCATCCATCCATCGATCCATCCATCTATCCATCTATCATCCATCCACACATCCATCCATCCATCCATCTATCATCCATCTATCATCCATCCATCCATCTGTACATCCATCCATCCATCCATCCGTCCATCCATCCATCCATCATCCATCCGTCCATCCATCCATCCATTCATTATCCTAACTTCTTATTCCCTAATGGGGTTGGGGGGGCGGAGCCTATCCCAGTAGCCAATGGGGAGAGGCGGGGTCCCCCTGGACGGTCCCCAGTCCATCACAGGGACACACAGAGACACACAAGGACCAACAACCACACACACTCACACTAAGGGCAGTTTGGAGTCCAACAACCTAACATGCAGGTTTTTGGAGGGTGGGAGGAAGCCGGAGAACCCGGAGAGAACCCACAGACACAGGAGAACATGCAGAACCACCCAGAAAGGTCCTGGTTCCCCCGGGACTCCAACCCAGAACCCTCTGGTCCTGGTTCCCCCGGGGACTCCAACCCAGAACCTGCTAACCACCACACCACTGTGCCGCCCTCTCCAATTTTCATATTATATAAAAATCTGATTAATCTTAGATTACCAACCGACTTAATTTAAATCTAAAATATAAAGATAATGTAGCTGGTCCCTTTTACAAGACGTGGCTATGCGGACCCTTTCAGGTGAGAACACACTGCTGTCTCTTTCTTTTTTATTCTTTTTGCTGCTCCTTTGCCCCCTTTAAACTAATAAACTGGATATATTTTCAGACTTGAGACATCCTAAAAATATTTGGCTGTGAATGATTTCTTAGTCACGCGAAGGAGGACGGAAGAGTGAAAAGACACGGATGCTGGAATTAGAGGAACCAAACAGGCCTTCAGTGTTAAACCCAGCCTGAGCATAACTAAACCTGACAACTGGAGAGGGACTTTATGCTAACTCTGGGAGCTAACGGGCTCAGCTCATTCTCCCCGGGTGCCATTTGTTTTAAATAAGGGGACAAACGTCTGGTTTGCTCACAGCAAAAGCCTCCAGAAGCCCGACGGTGAAAGTTATCTGAAGGAGGAACACCTGAGGAAACGCTAGTTAGCACGACTCGGCGCACTTATGAGTGAAGCGTTTTGCCCCGATTGAACTGGACAGTGTTTCAAATCGATGCACAGAATGGTGGACCGGATTGTGGTTTTCCTGTCAAAGCTATGAAAAAGATCAGCCATTTCTGCATCATTCAGGTGGGAGCAGGAATAGGGATGTCCCGATCCAGATTTTTTCCCTTCTGAGCATGTGTTAAAGTCTAAAGTTATTTATCTACTTACTTAGTTGCCAGACTCATGTTGAACATCTGATAACAACTTAATGGTTAGGACACAGGCCTGTGGGTTACAGATGCTAATGCTAATGCTCGTGTGGGATTGGACTTAAAAAAAAATTGGATCTGGGGTCTGGATCTGCATTTTTCGGAGATATCGGATGGGGGCTATTCGTCTCTGAATACGCTGTAACTGGCTTGTTTAGCTTTATTTTCCACCTCATGTTTGGGCTTTTTTGCAGATATATAGATGTAGAAAGGACCCAGTGGATGATGAGCTACATTGATTTACAGTTCTGAGCTTTATGGCGAGTTTTGTTTTTGCAGAATGAACAATATTCAATAAACAACCCAAAGTCTGACCTGTAAAACGTATTGGAGTTTTAGTTTAAGTCATTGTTCTGTGATCGTCTGACTCAGGAAAAAACACTCATAAAGGGAAACTGATTAAATTCAAATGAATGCTATGTTATCACAATATATTCTGATATATTTCATGTATGTTTAATCCTCCAGCAGGGACTTATAATTAACTGTGGGTTAGGTGAGATTATTTAGGTAGAAGCATCCTGGTTTAAAGATTTTCCAGCATACATATTTCCAAAAGACTGATTGATTGATTGATTGATTGATTTATTGATTGAGTGATTGATTGATGAATACTTTATTGATCCCACATAGATCGTCCAACTATCGTATCACAATCCGATATGTGAGCGGCTATAAACGTTGTATTGGTTTTATTATTATATCAATACTATGTGATTAAATAACGATTTCGACATAGGTATTTGTTCATAACTCTTTCATGTCCTGGATTAAGGATCGTGGGATTTCTGAGGCTGCTTGGAGCTGTTCCCACCAGGTGGAAAGTTCTGGTGGAAATGAGAGGAACACGACAAACTATCATCCAGAAAAACAACAATTTGCTGTTTACTGCTCTTAAAAACTGTGTTTACTGGGTGTATAATGTTGTGACTGGCACTATTCCCAAATACACTCAGCAGTATTTTAAAAACTACTTAATCATATCTGCAGTGGTGCAGATGCACCGCGTGCCAAAAGATTTGTGAAGTGATAAACAAAGTAAATGAATAAAGCAGCCATGATATCAAATAGATGATAAACTGAGCATATAAAAACAACATTTATCCATTTTTGCTCATCTGACGTTAGCAGGAAATGGCGTGGAGTCGATCACTCTCAGCTAAAGTCAAAAGGACTGAAACTGGATTTGTTTCTGACTCGCCCCCATCTTTAAAATCTCTTATCTGATGGGACAGGTTAACAAAAGTCAGTCAAATAAACAAAAACCACGAGAAGATCCATGAGATTTATGTTTTAAAGCCCCAAACCGTTATGATGATTCTGTCTAAATACGTCCAGTTTTTCTGACTTCTGGGGTTTAAGAGACACTGGGACAGTGTGAGTAAAAAACACCATGAAGAGAAATTTGATCAAGTCAAGATCCATTCATCCATCCATCATCCATCCATCTGTATATCCATACACTAGGGTTGTCACGATACTAAAATTTTCAACTCGATACCGATACTCAGTAAAATACTCGATACCATTTTCGATACCACAAGGATTAAAAAAATACCCCAAAATTTAAATGAATTTTGACAGGTTAGTGTCTATCATTTCAAACTGACATGTTACTGACTGTAATGTAATTGTGACTGGTGGCCCGTATTAATGACCCTAATCCTAACCCTAACTCTAACCCTAACCCTCCACCCTTCATAATTGTGAGAAATAAATATTTTTTGGTTAAACTTGTTTGGACTTATTGTACAAACCTATTTAACATACACTATTTTAACATAATATTATGGATAGAGTTTAATTAAGTGTTTGAAAGATTAATTTCACAATTTTTAAATGAATCTCTATATTGCCATGAGGCAATTAGGATTTTCTTGCCTGGAACCTTCCTATTGTTAATGTAATTATAATGGCCGACTTCGATGTGGGCGGAGTCGGATATGTACTTGATTAATGGTAGCACGTTATTATTAGCCATTAGCCGCAGCTAGCAGTTCAAGGCTAACAACTTGTTAATGACCATAAACAACTGAAATAAATACATAAATAAATCTGAGAGAAGGGGCGCAGCGACGGCAGGTCAGCGCGCTCGCGCGTTAGTATCGATACTTTTGAAAATGAGTATCGTATCCGGATACAACATTTTAGTATCAATACTTTTTTGAGTATCGATACTTTTGACAACCCTACCATACACACATCCATCTATCTATCTATCTATCTATCTATCTATCTATCTATCTATCTATCTATCTATCTATCTATCTATCTATCCACCATTTATCCATCATCCATCCACCCACCCAGCCATCCATCTATCCATCCATCCATCCACCCATCCATCCATTGATACATCCATCCATCCATCCATTGATACATCCATCCATCCATTATCCATCCATCCATCCATCCATCTATCTATCCGTACATCCATCTATCTATCCGTACATCCATCCATCCATCCATCCATT